CCTTTGATGAATTTATCAAAGCAATTAATTTTATTTTTGACTCTACATATTTTACTTTCAATAACAAAATTTACAAACAAACTTATGGAACACCTATGGGGTCTCCATTGTCTCCGATATTAGCACATATGGTGATGCAAGATTTGGAGGAAATTGCCTTAAACAACTTACAATTAAATAATTCATTTTACTTTCGATATGTTGACGATATTATCATGACTGTTCCTGGAGATTTGGTGAACAAAGTCGTAGAAACTTTTAATAGCATTCATAATAGACTTCAATTTACGGTAGAAATTGAAAATAATAGATCTTTGAATTATTTAGATTTAAAAATAAGAGTAGATAACAACAAATTGAAAATAGATTGGCATCATAAGGATACGTTTTCTGGTAGATGTTTATCTTATTTATCAAATCATCCTTTATCACAGAAGATTGGTGTCATATATAACATGGTTGATAGAGCATTATTACTATCTAATTATGAATTTCATACCAAGAATATTGAGTTTTGCATTGTAACGTTATTAAATAATAATTATCCTTTACAATTAATTTTTAGTACAATACAAAGAAGAATTGAATTTATTTGTAAATTTAAATTAATTGGAACACATACTGATACTAGTAACTGTATTGATCGTCTTCCTATAAAAAAAAAACTTTTTGTTATACCATTCATTCCAAATATCACAAATTATATTACATCTAATTTAAATAAAGAAGTTTTTACAGTAGGACTCAGGAGTATTAATAAACTTAGTAGTATTATTAAAGTGCATAAGGACAATACAGATACTATACAAAAAAATAATATAGTGTATAAAATTAATTGTAAAGATTGCAGTTCGTCTTATGTTGGACAAACTAAAAGAAAGTTGATCACAAGAGTAAAGGAACATGAGCGCAATTTGAGAGGTGATCCATTGAAATATTCTGTAATATCTGAACATTGCAGTCAATATAAACATTTATTTGATTGGAATAATGTTCAAATTATGGATGTAGAATCTCATTACAACAAGAGATTGATTTCAGAAATGCTTTATATTAAAGAACAGAAGAATGGCATTAATGCCCAAAACGACACGGAAAAATTAGACAAAGCATATAATATTTTGTTTTGATATATCTTATAATAATAAATAAGTTTGACATTTCGAATTGCTAAAATCATAATTCCTTTATTCTTCTGACAACTGTCTTTTACACACAATGTATCTCTGGTGTAATAATATAATAATTTTATTGAAGAAAAGAAAGTTGCACTTGGGCATCTGAAATTTACGTAAGTTAGATATACTTTCATGTTTAGTTTGGTTTTATTTATCCTCTAATTAAATCTTAATTTTATTAATAATTCCATAGAATCACGATGCAGAAACAGCTTTATTTGACAATTTTCTTTCCTTTATTTTACAATTGACTAAGAGAGAATATTTGACATCTGAGTTATAGCTCATAGATTATTGGATTTGTTATATGTTTTTCGATATCTTTATGTATTTGAGACTGAAGAGGACTGCAGTAAGCGTCGAAACGTTTCGTATTTAATTCTGAATATTTTTTTTTTTTTATAATAAATTTGTCAACTGATAAATTGTTGCTTGTTTATACCGAATATTAACACCTTACTTTTGTTATTAATGACAGATTTTAAAGTTGCTATTTAAGAAATGTTTTTAATGATTTTGCAAAGATAAAGATTTGTGTAAAGATGTTCTACAGTGTCACTGTACACTTACAAGACTTTTTAACTTTTCAAATTTAATGTTTAGTATTACCATTACTACTGTTTGAACAGTACCTGATGGTTTTAATTTATATACAATATTTCAAGTATTGCTCTTTTTTTTGTAATTTTACCGTACATAAAAATAAATTTAATACGCTAAAGTATACATATAAAATAGAAAAATTCTACGTCTGCATTTTGCAAATATTTTATCCCGAACGATCTTCTATTGTTGAGATAAGTAAGATGCTACAACGAATGTAGAAGAATCGATAGTTGAGTGTTTTTTCTTAACTTCGTAGGCGAAGACACTTATATAAAAAATTATTGCACATTTATATTATATTAGATGTATACCTATGAAATACGGATTTTTTAAAGGAAAAACATATGTTAATTTGAAGTGAATGGTTAAAGCTATTTATTTGAAGTATTTTTAGTCACATTTAATACTTCAGCCAAATATTGTGATTAAGTTTGAGTGAAGTCTTCGTCCAACAATGCTTGCAACACTGTATTTTCAAATTTTTTCGGTGGTTTTCGCTTAGCCTTATCTCCCTGCTTAAAATTTTCTATAAAAAACTATAAGAACATATAGAGTTTGTATAGGTATTTATAGTTTTTAATAGCTTCTATAGTAGCGCACGAGGGAGACTATAGAAACTCTACAGTTATCAATAAGATTCTATGAGTATAATTTTCTATAGTGTTTTACCTATTAAACTCTTACCAATTTAAAATTTTAATAGTGTTTAATGTACAGTACTGATCTATAGGTGTCTATGGTTTTCAAACTATGGAAGTCAAAATGTTCTTTATAGGAAACAACTTACGGCCGTCGATTGGCCAATGCGTTTCAATAGATTTTATCGTATAAGTTTTTATAGTAAATTTACTAGAGGCTGTCAATACTGTTCTATGTGGAATTGTATGCATCCAAAATAGTCTATCGATAATAATAGAAGAAATACCCCACTGTAATACTTATAGTTTTTTTAATTTTTTGGAAATAAAATTATAGTGATTATTTAGAATCCCCCCTCACCTTCGATTTTGATAAAATTTGGCTCATTTAACACGTTTTTACACGAAACGAAAGAATCTGGTCGAAAAAATGCGGCATAATTGCCACGTACGCAAACCGAGATATTAATCGTTAAAATTCACGATTATTCAGGTTAGAAAATCTGTTACATCCATGAAATACTGCAATGCGAGCATGCGTTGCAGTCACATTTTCGCTTTACAAATAAATTTTCTATTTTACAAATTCAATACTTTAAAAACACAAATTCAAATTTTATATAAAAAACTATAGGAACTAAATTAAATTATAATATCCGCTCAAATGAATTTTTCAAATTAAACTTAATATACCTCCCCGGTCAAGAACAAATTTGAGCTATACTAGTTGTTAGAAATATATATATAAATTTATTATAATAATAATATCGGTATATACGGAAAGTTTCGACTTCACAGAGTCCTCAACAGCACTCTGATGAGTCCAGTAGTGGAAGCCAGGACAAAACGCCAACTTGTGATATTCTTCCCAATATATTAAATTAATTTTTAAGAATTCGGTTGCGGCTGTTGAGGACTCTGTGAAGTCGAAACTTTCCGTATATACCGATATTATTATTATAATAAATTTATATATATATTTCTAACAACTAGTATAGCTCAAATTTGTTCTTGACCGGGGAAGTATATTAAGTTTAATTTGAGAAACTATAGGAACATATAGAGAATTTTTGTATATAGTGTAAGAAATCAAGGTCTACGCATCGGGCTGTGTGGCTTCACGGCAAGACGGTGGCTTGCTAGTACGAACTACTACGAGGTCCTCGGTTAGAGTCCCGGCATTTCGACATTTTTTTCTCGGCCCAGCTCTTACAATAGATATTTAGTTTTCAATAGTTTCTATATGTAGAACATGAGAAATGGCTACAGAAATTTTACAGTTATCAGTAAGATGAGTATAATTTTCTATAGTATTTTACCTATTAAACTCTTATCAACTTTAATAGTGTTTAATGTACGTTATGTGATCCTTTAGTAAAATATCATTAGTAGTAATACAGAGTACCATACGGTATCGATCTATAAGTGTCTACGGTTTTCAAAGTATAGAAGTCGAAATGTTCTTTATAGGAAACAATAATTCATGGTCCTCGGCTGGCCAATGGGTTTCAATAAATTTTCTCGTTTAAGTTTGTATAGTGAATGTACTAGAAACGGTCAAAAGTATTCTATGTGGAATTACATGAATAGAATGGCCTATTTAGTAATAATAGGAAATATCCCATTGTAATACCTGTTACTATTAATCCATAATATGTAGTAAAATCCCTATAGGAAATTATTATTACTTCGCGTAGAAAACTATTGCGGATAAGGATTTACCGATTCGAAACGCTCATCGAAAACTATTGATAACTGTAAGAAAATTCATATAATAAAAAATATTGGAAACTATTAATCAGGAATAGTAAAATCCCCATAAGAAATTAATTATTATTACTACACATAGAAAACTATTGTGAATGGGGATTTACTGATTCAAAACGCACATTAAAAACTATAGAATTTTTCTTAATAGTTTTCTATAGAAAATTTTAAGCAGAGAGGACCTCAAAACAAAAAAAAATTTCCTCTAGAAGAATTCTCGCAAATGCTTCGTTCAAGAGATATTGACTTATTAAGTTACTGAACTGTAGGAATATTATAATATCGAAATGTCGCTTTTTGCTTTCTTTTAAAAATCGTAGGTCGTTGATAGGCTTATGTTCGCAAAGTAAACAAAGCTCCTTTCATTCGTACGAAATAATATTTAGTCCATTGAATGCTTTTGCAGGGTAAACTTGTATTAAATCAATGCAATTTTTTATGCCTCGTTCTGTTATCAATTGATGTAATGCTTGTCTCCGAGCTGGAGGCCGTCATTTTGAACAAAATATTTAATAATTAATTTGTTATTACTGTGTAAAGCAATAAAGAAGTTAAACCTGTATTATTACGATATTTATTTATTCCTATAGTTTTGTAATTTAAGAAGTATTATAAACTAAGTAATAACTTAATTATTTCGTACGAATATATGAAAGAAGCTTTATTTACATTGCGAACATAAGTCTATCAACGACCTACGACTTTCAAAACAAAGCAAAAAGCGACATTTCGACATTATAATATTCCTACAGTTCAGTATCTTGAACGAAGCTTTGCGAGAATTCTTCCAGAGGAAATTTTTCTTTGTTTTGAGGTCCTAAATGCGTATTTCAAATTTGGCCATTTAACCCAGGAACACCCTGTATATGTCAAATCACAACGCTTATGAACGTATGTGTGACGCCACTTGTTACGAAAATCCGCATTTCATAGGTGTACACCTAATATAATGTCTCCCTGAATTTTAGTCCTTTAAAAGTGGAATGTTCTCCGTTTCTTTTTGTCGCGTTTTTGCCTCTTTCTTTTCCTCTTCTTTAGCCAGTTTTTTTGCTTCCTTTTGCTTAATGTTTTCTGCCTTCTTTTCTTCCTTTTGTCGTATCTTCTCTGCTTTTTCTTTCTCCTTCCTTAGTTTTTTTTCTTTCTTCGCCTTTTGTACCTCTTGAACCACCGACATCTTCTTCGGCATTGTCAATGGTCGTTTAGTAGACGCATTGTAGACGGCACGGTTGCATGACAATGACGACGATGCTAACGATGTACTAGTGGATGTACCTCTTGGGTTTGTCGATACATCCAGCTGCGTCACAATCTTTTGAGCACATCTGAAAACACGTCAAATGCGCCGTGAATTTGTTTTAACATATCTCTTCACTGATTGTTGAAATTAAGATTGTTAAGGTACCTGATTCTAGCAGAGGCTTTTCCAGCACGGTATTCTCTCTGGAACTCTTTAATTGGTGGCAATCGGCGTTCTCGATTCTCCTGCGAGCTCGCTTCTTCAGGAATTTGTTGAATAAGATCATGGTGTTCCTACAAATTTTTATAAAAATTGAATAATCCACCGATTTTCATACATAAAAAAATGATTTTGCGAATGTACATATAATATAATCTGAATATTTAAAATAACAATAACATTGAATGTTGTCGAGCCATGTTCAAAAAAAGATACTAAAAAATTTAAACTTTTTTATCTAATAATAATATATTACCATGACAAGTAACTGATATATTATTAATTAAAGGTGCCAGTTCAAAATGAACATACATAAACTTTCGGCCGATTTTCGAATCGCCTCCGCCTTCCACTGTCCTCCTCACCTCACTGCCCAGCGCGCAGATCAAATGTCGCTCAATCTCGTGCGGCATTTGGACCACGCGCGGTGAGGTGAGGGGGACAACGGAATGTATAATTAATATGTACTTTGGAGCACACACACCCACACACACACACACACATCCACACTCACTAATACACGCACGCACGTACACACACATACGTCGGAGTTATAAATAATATCAACAAAAACATTACCGATCATGACAATTATATAACTATTGAAAAAGGAAATTCACAATGTACAAATTGTACTATCACTCATGTCTAATTAAAAATGCATGACTTTAAACTTATTGTTTAAATTCATTTAAATATGCTTAACTTATTGTTCATTCATTGAAGATGGCTTAAAAATGAAGATGAAACGTTTGTATGTATGGAAATAAAAGAGGATGTAATCAACAATAACTTCTGCGAAATAGTATAATATATAATACATATATATGTTAAAATTAACTATATTGTGCTCTCATTGCTTCGAAATTCTTACTACTTAACTTCGTAATCTCTTAAAATTGGAGCACCAAAATCATAGTTTAAAAAATTTTAATACTGTGATTTATTGTATTATAAATAAATTATCGAATTTAGAGTATTCTCTCTAGTACTTTTCTTTATGTGTACTCATTTAAAAAAAAAATAAAATATACTTTACGTCGAATATTATAATAAGCTATTAACCTGCTTCTGGGAACGCCTAAGAATGACGCCTGTAGGTTGCTGTACCCTCGTCACTCTTGTTGCCCTCGTCGGTTTGTTGAAAGAGGTACTGGTAGAAGAAGTTGCCGACAAAACGGAAGATGCACCTATGTGAATTCAAATTCGAAACTTTATTTAACTCCTCCATTAAGTATATTTAACACCTCCATTAGATCGTATATTATTAGTAGTTTGTATATTATTAGCAATTTACGAAGATTATTACGAACCAGAAACGGAAGATGAAGTACTGGCCATCGAATATGAAGAAGCGGAAGCCGGGACACTTCTGGTACGCCTAAACCCAGACTCTCCGCATGCAGCAGAATACTTGCTTGGGTCTATGTTGTACTCTGACGCGCTTTGTGGGAATAACCAGGATCTATTTGGCATATACTATAAGTCAAAACGATTCTACAGTGCACAATCGATTCACATTTCTCTATGTAAAAGTATTTAGAACGATTATGACAATCGATGTATAAAATGTCCATTTAAAAATTAGAAATTGGATGAATTATCTTAGACAGCACGCAACTCCGCATCAACATTATAGATTTTGACTCCCGGTGAAATTGTCTCAAAATTTAGTATATTATCCTCATGTTGGTGCGGGGTCCTTTATTGATTTATACAATGAAACAAAGTTGTAGAGACATAGTATAAAATTAAATTACTAAGAACAGCGTGTAAAATTAACCCTCTAGTTCCACATTCCGACCACGCAACAATAACTTTTTCACACTGATGCTAATTTGACGTCTTCGAACGCAATTTAGTTGTAATGATTTGTTATGATGATTTATTATGATGATTGTTATAATGGCAGAACAAATAAAAGTCAAAGTAGGCATTTTCTATGGAAAATTTTATGTGTATTTTTGTTGGTGCAAATTCACACCAGTGTAGAACTTGGAGGTATTAATTACGAAAAATTTTTTAAACGCTAAAATATGAAAAATATGTCTGAGATGAAACGTACATTATCTTTACTCACTACAATATCAGGCTGCGGAATTTCCGGCCTCACTCCTAATATATCCGCCCTGCACATCATGCATTTCATAGGCAGTCGCATTTGAGATACTGCCACTTGTACGATCCTGAAGAAACATAATCTGCAAAATAACATAAACAGATATGAAGCAGAAATATAATTTGAAGAAATCTTCTAACATGCAAAATATATTAAATTATAACGGACTTGATTAGATGGCGTGTATGCGTGTATACGAATCAAAGATTGTGTGCGAATAAGAAGCAATCAGAATGTGAAAGACTGAAGTGTGTGGATTAGTTAGCTTACAGTGTGGCGGAGGCGAAAGATTGAAAGCGGGGCAGGTAATACATAGATTGTAAGAAACAGGTGAATGAGCTTGGCGATAGAGAAATTATGGCAGCAAAAGAACTCGGCAGCATGATTGGCGATGCGTCATGAAAAAAAGGTAGTCGAAACGCGATACAGAGCAAAGAAAGTAGTTTTTGTAGATACGAAGGATAGAGGCGAGATAGACAAAATAAAATATGAGTTAGAAGTGTTTACAAAGAAGATTACGCAGGTCTCGAAGCGCTGTTGGGTATTATACTTCGAGAGTGATATTGAATGGGGTAGATAGCGGTATGGCGAGGTCCTGCGTAGATGTTTAGTATGCTATAGATTTACCTGTAAAAACAAGAAAGTTGGTGGGAGATTTGCCAAGGTACAGAATGTACCCTGGGAAAGTAGTTTTAAATATAGATGTCAATTATCGGATCATTTAATGTTATGCGTGGTCTATAATGGGCAATAGTAGTAGCGGATGAAGCAGTAAGACGTCGCAGTAAGCTGGTTTTTTGATATTACAGGGCGTAGAGTAAGTCCGTAAGCGAAATGGTTGAAATCCATTTCTTACGTCTACTCTCTTACTCTCAACCAATGAGAACTCAGTAGCATTCAGTATAGTAAAGAAAACGCGCGCAAGAAGCTAGTGCTGTTTTTGCATGATATAACCTAAATTAAAGCATGGATGCACCAAAGTGAGCAAAAATTCAAATTGCTCTGGCCACATCCGAGTATACCGGAAAAATTCTTCGTGATCAGTTATCATCAATTCGCGAAATAGGTTAAGGTTGAAACCTATATGTTTGCGCCTGTTCACAGGTCGTACCCACCATCTCCGACCATTAATAGACCTCTTCGTCTGAATAATGCGCGATTGCAATATTAGGAGCTGATTCCATAACATCATAAATAATGTAATAAATCCAATTTTTTGCCAATCCATAATTATGGATATAAAGGATAACGCTCTTTCGTTACTTTATGGTTGTAAGTCATTGTAGGCACTCAGGCGTAAAGAGACTCAAATCCTATACAGCCTACTTCTAATGTGTCTACTCCTTAATCCACTACTGCTACTGCCCATTGTAGACCACTCATTAAAGTTTTGTGAAATAAAACCATCAAAGCGCGTATACTTGGTACTTTTATTCATATGTTTTACGATACGCGCCATTCATTTAGAGTTGGTGGTGAATTAAGTACAACGGCATTTCTCAATTCATGAAAGCGTTTTATTGCGAAGCGAGGAATACGCAAATTAATCGATAAGTAGCTATTAGAGCACAAGGCAATTAGATCTTGAAAGTAGAAAGAAGCAGGCGGTTAAAGCGCGCGTGTCCGTTATAATTTAAAAAAGAAGCTAATTGTGTGTGTGTGTGTGTGTGTGTGTGTGAAAATATTAACTTATATTGATATTTCTATGAAAAAAAAATAGTATTTTTATGTATGTTTTTTTAATTAAGAAATTCTGCAAGTGTAATGAGATTTCTAAAAATGTTATAAAATATTAAGTAGTTTAAAAAAGATATTTAATCTTATTTTTTCGAAAAACATACAGGGTGCATCAATCAAATCCAGACGAAATAAAGTTGCTAATACAATTTAACTCGTGATATTATAGCGTTAGAGTGGCGTTTTTAGATGGAAAAATTGTTCTGTGCGCGCGGTTTAAAAGACTACATAATAATAATTATTATTATGTATGGGTTATCGCCGTGTCTTTCTTCATTGTTAATGCAATTAACAATGAAGAAAGACACGGCGATAACCCGCAAACCTTCTGGTATAATTGAAGAAAATACCCGTGAAAGCCTCAAAAGCGTAATAATATATAAAGTAATATATAAATTTATACACGGAATTATAATAGCACCTAAAATCAAAGCTCGACCTGTAAAGGCATTTTTTTATTCGTTGTGTTTCTCACATGTACGGTTCTATAAGATTTAATATTTAAATATTGTATAATATTTATTTAATTATTTTCTCTAATTTTGATCTCCCTCCTAATATCGCAACTTCAACGGAACACACTTAACTTATAAAATTACAAGAAACCTAAAGATTCATTTAAAGTATAGAGTAATATTGAAATCTATACGCTTAGATTAAGTTCGTTTACTCACCTGCAGACCGGACAATGATTACAAGGTACATATCGCATTATCGCTTTTGCACTCATGCATGTGACACACTAGAAAAAAAATAGAGGCTTTGTTAGAGATGCAAAATTACTGTCAAATTCAATTTTACAATAGGGAGTTTTTGCAATACCGTTTATCCCAGATACGGTGAACGCTAAAGTCACGTTATCTTTTTCTTAATTAGGTTTGAAGAAAAAGATAACGTAACTTTAACGTTCACCGTATATGGGATAAACGGTATTGCAAAACTCCCTAATTTCTTACGATAAAATTTTTCTCGTACGACAAATCTAAAAAAAAATTTTTTACAGTTACGGGAATTCTGTCGACAGTTCTGGGTAGCACCCGACGAGTTCTCACGGAAGTTCTTAATGCTCAACGCGCTAGAACTAACGGTTTCAGAGAGATATCGCGATTTTTTGTATTTAAAAATAAAAAAATTTTTTTTTTAACATTACGGCAGTTCTGTTGACAGTTCTGGATAGCACCCTAACAGTTCTACTAAAAGTTATTAGCATTTAAAGCGCTATGACTAATGGTTTAGAAGATATCGCAATTTTTCGTTGTGCGTTTTGTGAAGTTAGCACCCCAAATTTTAAATTTTCGATTTTTAGTGTTAATTCGCCAGAACTATTTTTTATTTTAGGCAGAAACTTCAGAACTCTTCGGGGTGCATTCAGAACTCTGTCGAAAGTTTCATTTTTTTAAAAATGAGGTGCCAACGTCACAGAGGTGGTTTCGGTGGTTTTCCACGTTCTTCGTTTCTCACGTGAAAATCGCCACTTTTGAATTTTTTAAACCACTCAAAGCACTGTGATTTACCAAAAGCATGCTCACCGTAAGCTTCGACAAGTATTCGATGCGATTCTGCAGCAGTTTTCTTCAAATGGTAACAAAAAGTTAATTACTGTCCGCAAATCGTAGTTTCTACGCGCAAAATTCGACATGTTCAACACTATTACAAACTATACTGTTGTATGAAACTTGTATTGTTGTGAGTTGAAAATCTTTGTCAGATGTCAGAACAAGGAAATGGCGTCAATGACACGGTCTGACAGCAACTACATTGACAGCTATGGCCGTCTATTGGTAAATTCCAGTTTCATATTTATACCCCTGATACATACATATATATATATATATGTATATATATATATGTATATACACATATATATATATATACATACATATATGCATATATTGCTAAACTTATTGCACGCGTATTAATTAATTTTAAAAAACAGCAATTCGTTTAATTAATTATAGAGTCGTATATGATAGATACATTATAATAATCCGGTAAGTATCCATTGATAAACTTACTTCATGCATTATTACAATTACAATAAAGAAGCAATTCTATTACTATTACACATATAATATGAATGCATATATATGTATATATACACTGTTGTCGGAAAGGTCTGGGTATTTGCAGCTTTTAGTAATGTTGCATATAAAATAATTATATATTATTCTTATATATGTATACTTTTTTTATAC